TATAAAATTAATCACCTAACTAACATGATTATATGTCATAGAAGTTTGTAAAAATTAATCAATACCCTATGTAAATCACAATTGAAATAGTTAGGTTCTTACTTACCCTATCAGTAATAATATGGTATTTATGTACTACTGAAATATTTGTAAAGAGTTAAGAAATAGGTTGAAGAAATCAAATTCCAGACCAATCGATCTTAGGTTATAGGACATAGGTTCATCTATTTTAATTAGAGTAATTCACTATCAGGAAACGATTAATTAATGATAACTACATAAATATATAATTGGTTTTATTAAACTTAATTGTTTCTATAGCCAATTAGCTTTGAAGGTTCCATCTGTTTTTCATATGCTTTTAGTAAAATAATGAATACAACTATGAGCAAAGATAGAGAGTGTCTAGTAGGGTAATCCAGGACTCACGTTTCATCCCATTTGAGATTCGTCAGCTGAATAGACCTGTATCTCAGAATTGATATTCACTCCAGGACTCGAACTCAGTATCATTCTCTCCAAACGTCATTGCGTTAGGATGAAACTCATGTCCTGGATTTCACTACTAACCACCATATATCTTTACTTGTAATATTTGTGACCTAAAGTAATATCGAAGCAATCCATACAAGATGTATATATGCCATTATAAGAGACTGATCAATTTTACAATCTTAAACGTCAGTGGGAAAATTCAAAGAACCAATACAAAAATGAATTATTGAATAAAATTATTTTAAAAGTTTATGTATAATAACTACATAAACGACGCACCTAGAACTCTAAAAGACACTTTAAATAACGAATATAACTGGATTAAGCACATAAATTACAACTACGATTACATCATGACTGAAATTCGTTGTTGAATGTACAATGTTCGTTTGTTTGTTTGTTTTTATATAAAACTATGTGTAGTCAAATGGTTTATCTGAGACAGTATTTTTCGGATCGATAATATTTTATGTCAGGAACAATGTTGATTGTGAATATTATTGTGAAAATAAATAATGATTAAAATAATACTGAATTGAATTTACTATTATTAAAACTATGTAGGTCATATGGTTATGGACTAGTAGTAACAAGGTTTCGCCAAGATTTTTTTTTAAATTTTAATGTTATATCATAGAGTTTTGTGAATGAAATATCTTTTGATTAAAAATACTAAGTATTATTGAAAGTCTAAAAGTACTGGACAACTACTATTTTGTTCTAGTATGAGATTCATCAGTAGTGTACATCTGTAGCCTCTCAACCAGGAATCGAACCTAGGACTTTCAATCTTTCTTGTAAACACTAATTCAACACTAAATGGTGTATATATTGAATTTAAATCAATCCATTGTGATGCCTGAATATTTTTTCCATTGTCTTTAGTGGGTACGTTCCTCATACCGGAAATGGTTGAACTCTATTGGTCCATGCTTCTTACTAGAAGTCTGAGAATTTCTTCTCAAAACTAGTTATCAGTGGGCACATGATATTTATAAGTACAGGAATTGTGAAGATTGTTGAATGTTATTGACATCACAAACAATGGCCACAACTTCTATACTGATAAAAATAGTAGTGTAGAATAAATCCTAATATGTTTTTTTATATTTATACTAAAGATATAAACTTTTATACAGTTCATTTTACACAAGCGAATTACTATCTGGACTCAGTTGTTAAGTGGATAACACGTTGGAGTTTGAAGTGTTCGGCACTGGGCTTGAGTCCCGGAACGATGTGGATACATCCAGCTGACGAGTAACATAATGAAAACGTGTCCTTTTTTAAATCAAATTCGTAACGAACGTATTATGTATTCTTCCTTGTCATAGAAAATGCGGATAAAAGTTCCTAAAATATCGGTCTTAATGCTATCATTTAGCTCATAACCAGATCTTTTGAATACATTTCCTAAGTTACTAGATAATACGTCTCCAACATTTTGTTTAATTTGTCATTTAACATTCTTTTAAATAAAAATCGGTTTTTATGAAGTTTTGAGTTGAATAAGGATATGTGGATTTCACTGCTAACCATGTTCCATCCACTCTACGTGTAAACTTATGCCATAGTGACTATATCAAGGCAATCCTCATAGGATTTACGTGTTCCAACCGAGATCAATCAAATTTCAGTCGAAATATCAACGACTGGACAATTCAAAACATCACAAATTAAAATAATATCAACGTTAAGTTAATTAGTAATTTCCTAATAAATACACTGCAGTAAGCGGTTACTATTTGGATCCTGTTCTCAGCATAGGACTTCTTTATTATTCTGAAAGATAGTTTTCCGAAACCCACTTCTGTGACTGAACGTCAAGTCCGTTAACTATTTAGTCATAATCTCAACTATGTAACACTTATTACAATTGTACCCCAATCTTTAATGGACATGTGAGATTCAATGTTTTGTAACAACTCTAAATAAGTGGACCACTGAAAATTATTGAAAAAATGAAAATATTTCTCAGAAATCCAACCAAGAATCAACAAGTCATACTAGGCTCAAGGATTCTTGTCATAGGTGTCCTCGAAGCGTTGCCTGTGGTCTGTGGAAAGACCAAGTCATAAATGTTGAGGTTAAGCATAGGACATTTGACAAAGATGGCAAATCAGTTGATAAGGTTGTAAATCTTCAATAATTGTAGAAGTCCAAATATATTTTATATATGCCTAACTGATGCCTACCACGATATTACATAAGTAGTTTGGAAAGAAGCTAGGGGCAGCCGAACCAAGACGTGACGTCAGTCCTTGAAGTCTTTAACTGTTATTCTAAACCATATGGATAAAACAGACATTGTGGAAATCATCAAACTGCATCGCGAAGGAAGCGCTAACTTGGAATCCTGAAGGGAAGAGGTAAAGTGAATACCAAGGAACATATTGCACCTGGAATTGGAAGCAGGCATCAAAAAGATGAATAGCAACTGGAGACAACTTGAAAGCATTACCCAGGGCAGAGCTAGATGATGACCGCCAGTGGGTAGCCTATGCTCCTCTATGAGGAGTAACAGGCATAAGTAAATAAGTAAGTAATTATACTAGACTCAATTACTGTTGTTTAAGCGAAAACCTTATCAATAATTGTCAAGACCTTTTTCATTATGACTGAAGTTATATTGAAAAAAAGAACATAATAAGCAAAACAAATCTATCGGGAAATAATCGATATCCCCATGTAATTTGGATTTTTTAGAAAAACTGTTCATATCATAGTTACACTATCTTAGAGATTAAAAAATACCAAAGTATACCGCTTAAAAACGACAGTCAGCAAAGATAAATATGTTTCATGTGGTATAAAATCACTAATGACATTTACAAAAGTATTTATTTCATAAAATAAAACCTATACATATTTGTTTTAAGTTGTGGCCTTGTGTTCTTCAAGTAAATAACGCAGTGAAACTTCCAATTAGATAACAGTGGCTTATCGACCGGACCAATGACGCATAAATCCGTACGAGCAGTGTAGAGTCCTTATCGGTCCTTTTTCCTCCTAGCCCTGGCCGTTAAGTCCAGAACACCAATCTCAGTCCCTGCGATATGAATTATGTATTTCAAGTATACTGGGTTTATATATAAACCAAGCAGACCACATAGCACCATAAAATAGAAAATAACATATGTATAAGACTTAGCGGCTGTGAATATGGGAGGTTGTAATTAATAGACTGGGCATAACTCAATAATTGTAAATCGTATAATGATAGTTTATAGGTCAAAGTAAGGCTTGTAATAAGAGGAGTAAAGGTAAACATAATCTAGATACTGAATAGTTATACATTAAGAATATAAGTATAATATTTGTCTATAAATACTTCTCTAAAGTTACCATTCATAATGGTCGCCAGGATATAAAAAAATTAAAGAAGAATTATCCTTATGTGATTCATCACAAAATAATTTTGTTTTATAATTTTTAAGGATAAACGTTTTGTAGTTATTTCATGTAGTCAGTCTAACTGTTAAGTGACTCCATTAAATAAACGTTATATAATAAATAGTAATCGATTTGTACCGAAATAAAGTTCAACTTAATCTATGTATAAATTAATAAAATACTTGACAGGAATTTGAAAATACAATACAATCCTACAATGTTCAATGTTTGGATACATTCAGTAAAAAACTTGAATAATACAATATTTGAAGTCAAGAGTCAATTTATGCTAGATCACCATTGAAAACTTAGAAACACTAGACGGCCGTTTCGTCCTAGTATGGAGCTTCCTAGCGATGCAGATCCACGATCCTACACGCGGGACTCAAACCCAGGACCTTCGGTCTCGTGCGTGTACACATAACCTGTAAACCACTGAGTTGGCATTTAACAGTATTACTGTCCAATTTCAATCAATCGATAATCATACGCAACCTTTCATCTATTGTTTAAGAAGGATTAGTATCTTATACCCGACACAGATTGGACTCAAATGGTCACGGCTTCTCACTAGAACACCAGGCGTTACATCTTAAAGCTAGTCACTAGTGAGCACATGATTATCATCGACTACTGAGTATTTCCATACTGGGATCAAAAACAGTCGTCCAATACTTCCAGGCATTCAAATAGTAGTCTAGTTTAGATCAACTCGTAATTACAATTGTAAAAATACTACACTCTCCATAAATTCCTCATACTGAACAATAGTTATTACTTCTAGATGTTGAAAATGCATCACTTTTTTTTTCTAAAAGACTAGATTTTGGGAATTTCTGTTTGTTGTTTTGTTCTTTTAGTTGAGATGAACTACATTAATGAATTAGTTACTATTATCTTAATTACATTGAATTTGTAACATAAACTTGTTCTCATTTCCGACAACCAATAATTAAATCAATATTTTGTAAGGGATATCAATAAGAGAGATGTAACTATTCTTTACAAATCCATTTAACTTATTTTAAATGAAACAACAACAACAAAAAAAAACAAAAAAAAGATAGTAGCCACCGCAACATCTTAAACAAAAAAAAATTGATTTAACTTACTCATTATGAGCTTGTATAGCGTTCTTATTAAGTTTATTTACCATGATTAGTATTAAAATTAAAAGTCAAAATGACCATTTTATTATTTTGCGGACATTTACATTTTTTTTTCAAAGAATGAATACGGACATATCAAGAGGCAACAAACACATTAAGACATATATATTATATAATCAATCAATTCTCATGATTTTTATTAAAATAATCCCCCAATCATTTCCTCTTATGAACATGCATATTGAGGGATAGTGACATCTAATCATGATTTCAAAGGATACTTTGTGATCCCATTCTCAACACAATAAAATTTATAGTTTACATCGCTAGATAACTTTATTAAGAATATTATTAAAACCATGTATTATTACGGAATAGATGTTTCATTCTAGTTTGGTTCTTCTTAGAAGTACCCATCTATGATTAGACACGGAGGGGGGGGTTGAACTCACAAAATTCAGGCCTCTTAATGAGTGTTAAACATTCAAACCAATGAACAGGTACCTAATGATTTCAATGTTGCTTAACTGTTTTCTGATGCCGTTAGTATATAACTATCCCACATTTGACATAGATAAATTCCACTGGTCACAGCATTGCATTTGAACTATTGAAATTACCTCTAAAAACTAGCCACTTATAAGTCACTAAAGTACAAATTATAAAATTGAACAATCTCCACAAACCCCCATAGTTGTAATAGCTCTTACTGACAGAATTCTGTTGCCACTTAAAGTGTACGTTTCACAGAATGATCGTTGAGCGGGTTCCAGGTTATTATTTTATTTATTTATATTTAAACACATAAATATTAGTACAAGGAGGCACCAAATAGATATGCGCCACATAAATCATTCGATTTGTTTGAGGGCTGTGATACTGCCCAGGTGCCCAAACCAAAGCAGGTGGTTTTCTTAGGGGGCCACTCCCCGAGCCTTCGACCTAAAGGTCTGATCCACAAGGCAGTGGGGCAACGTCAGGAGATGCAGTCACATGGTAGCCGGTAACCAACAATAGGTTCATACTCCATTTGTTCCCTCAGGATACTGGAGCCCATGTACACCATTAGTTTGAAATCAGGGTTTCCCAACTCCCCTATGTGGATCCCCCGTGTCCATCAACCCAGTTAAAGCACCGGACATTTGCTTTTCGTTTACTCAATTTTTTAAACAACACCCTCACCTCAACAAGGCAGTGAGTAGGACTTCCGTGGCAGTGGTTGTATGAACGTGGCCGTGTGAGAGCATTTCGAGAGGGAGAGCTGACTCTTCCCACTCTCGGCCGTACCAGGGCATTTGTGGGCTCCAATTTGTCATACAAAATATTAATCAGAAATACATAGAAAGTAAAATACAAACAGTGATAAAAATGATTGTTTAAGACAGAGCACCTATACAATGATCGGTTTAATTACCATGACCAAGATTTTAATAATTCTAAACCTTAATCATTTAAAAGCTTGTAATGTAAATTTCTATTAGATCTTTTAAGATCTTCATTCCTGAATTTAATCACCAACCAACTACTACTCTATTTTAAACCAAGAACATCAATGAAAGCTTCAGTTAACTAATTATTTTTAGGAAAAATAATTGAAATTTTATAAGGAAATTTGAAAAATTGATATGGATTAAGAACAGGATTCTCGTATATATTTCGACTTTCCACTCGTAAAATTAAAGATTCTTGGAAAAATTTGAATTTGTGCCTCTGTAAACCTTATTTAAGACAAATTCGAAAGTTCATTACAAATAGCTATATTCATAGCTCTTGTCTAATGGTTACAAATGTCTCATGAATGGTACAATCTAATTTACTGGGTTTTTAAATTAAAGTATTGTAGTGAACACTAACACCAAATGTATTTGAATGCAAAATTACAGAACATCTCGAATAAAATCTGAGAACCATGCAATAAATACTTCATTTGTAAAATTTCATTCGACTGTCTCAGACTTGATTGTTCTTTCGTTTCCACACCAATCACTCTCTGTTCTTGTTCTCCACTTTTCTATTTTCCCAAACTCCAACCTCAAGGTATATCACTTTCGATTGATGATGCATACTAATTATATTTATCGACATCAGTAGCGCTCACCACAGTATTGCCTACCAAATCAACAAGATAGGAATTATGGAATAAATCAAGTTGATCTAACCATGATTACATATAACAGACAATATTTTTTGAAAAGGAATGTTAAGTTACGTATTTCACGGCTTAAATTCATTTGAAGTATATTACACAGAAACGACTCAGAGTTGTAACTTTCACCTCATCAATATGTACTAAAGTCTTGATCAGTAATGAAGTTTCAACAAGACATATCAGTTTTTTCTGCTTTTTTTATTTTCATTTAAATTAAATACTGAACTAAATTAGATAGCCTGTATATACATCTTATCTTCCACGACGTACAAATCGCCTAATGGAATGATCTCTGAGAATTCGCACCTTCTAACTCGGTATGTGTTGAAAATAATGATTTAGCGAAGCACTATTTTCATTTTAATAAGATTGTATTTGTAATTTTTGTGCTTTTGTTGGTCACCATAGGAACTGAGATGAAAGCCCACTTAAGAGAGGCGTGCTAATTAATAACTTATCCTGATGCTAATGTATACAATTCTTTAGCTTGGTATAATTCAATTAAGAAACAAACCTGACAGAATGTTAGAAAGATAAATTTTATATATTTAGTATTTAAAGAATTAATATCCATTCATAATAAAACGATAAAAATTATTGAACCAGATATTTGCATCAATCGAGTGGAAAATTAGGCACAAAATCATTATGCTCCATGTTCAAATTCTATTCTGGAAACTATACATACTTGAAGTGATTGGTCGCTGTCATAACTGTAATTCCCATTAAATTAGCTTACTTGCACATTTTCTCTCAGAATACTCATTTCCATAAGCTTACTTAGTAAAATCGATATTTTCCAAGCTAATTGAAGTTAATTTTACTTTGTGGTTGTGGAGATTGTTGAATTTTATTGAAATCATGAACCGATCAATGTTAGACCACCACTGAAAACCTGGAAATATTGGACGGCCATTTCGTCCTAGAGAAGCACTGTGAGGCAGTTACCCACTGAAGAAAATAGAATATAGTCGCGCAAAATCGTGGATTGGTTGAAGTTAGACATCAGCACTGTTGGATGCCGTAACAGTTGTCTAGAGGTTAAACGTTCACGTCTCTTATTGATAAATGTGCATACTATGTGTATTGCTTCGATATTGCCTTAAGTTACAAGCATTATAAGGAAAGATGGATGGTGGGTTGTAGTGGAATACAGGACACACATTTCGCCCTATTTTGGACTCACCAGCTGGATGTACCTTAATTCGAGTTAATGTTGACTCCGGGAATCGAAACCAGTACCGTAAGCTTCTAACGTCATCACAATATCCACTTAGCTACTTGTATACAACACTAGATTAAAATAAATTCTTTTTTGATTAAGATCATGAACCCATTGATGTTAAACTACCGTTGGAAACCTGGAAGCACTAGACGGTCGTTTCGTCCTATTGTGGGACTCCTCAGCAGTGTGCATCCACGATCCCCCCCATGGGATTCGAACCCAGGACCTATCAGCCTCGTGCGTTAACGCTTAACCTACTAGACCACTGAGCCGGCATTCAAAGGTGTTAATGTTTAACTTCAACTAATCCATGAAATTGAGCGACACACCCACCATTGTCGTCAGTGAGTTACTATCTCACAACTGACCCGGTTGAACTCCACTGGTCACTGCTTCTCACTAGAACTCTAGGATACACCTCTTGAAGCCAGTCACTAATGAGCATATGTTGATTAGTATCAGAAGGGGTTTTGTGGAGATTGTACTAATTTCAACAGTTTAGATCATGATTCAATTGAAGCTAGACCACCATGGAAAAACTGGAAGCACTGGACGGCCATTTCGTCCTATAGATTATTATAAATATCAAGTTTATTGTCTTATTAAGCTTAATAGTCAACTATTTTCTCTTACACATTCCACTTACTTTAAGTTTACACTTGTCGGTTACTACTAATAGTCACGTAAAAAAATCAAGTTTTTTTTAGTCTGGTGTATTAAATGTGTACTATGTTAGTGAATGAATTACATTCCTACTCAAACTCGTTCAATTAATTCATATAAAAATTGCGTGATCTCATTATCTGATTTATTCTACATTGTTTTTCTTAATTAATAAGGTTAATAAGATCCTATCATTATGGATCTTCTTGTATTGACTTTATTTTTGATTAATCTTCAGGTGGTAATTATTAACTCTTGCTATTTTATATCTATTAAGATTTCATCGACTTATTTTCTATGTGAAATGAATATTCATTTATTCTATACTAGAACAAAATAGTCTTCCGTTGATTTTGATGGTTTTTATAACCTTATACTGTTTATTTGCACATATTATTTCACTTCAAATTCTAATTCTTTCTATACTAACCCAATGGTTTGTTTAAGTAATCTTCATCTTCAGAATGGGTTTTGTGGAGATTTTTAGAAATTTCACAGGTTAAAATCATGAGTCAATTGAAGCTAGATCACCATGGAAAACCTGGAAGCATTAGATGGCCCTTTCTTCCTAGAATGGGACTCCTCAGCAGTGCGCATCCACGATCCCGCAGAACTCGAAACCAGGACCTACCTGTTTCGCGCGTGAGCACTTCACCATTAGACCACTGAGCCGGCATCCAACGGTGTTAATGTCTAACTTCAATCAATCTTCATCTATAAACTTATTGTGCAATATTAATTTCTTGTATTATATATTACATAATTTACTTGTAATTAGCTTAAAAACAGTGTCAATATCATGTAGAAAACTTCAAATTGAGTTCTTTTTTCTAGAAAATGTACCATTTAATAGTTTTGTAGGGCCAGTGAAATGTCAATAAGTTCTAGCCAAATCATCCAGAAGTCGGGTCACTGAATATCGAACCGATAATCGATCCCTGTCAAGGTCAAGGACGACTAACGCGCATCAGTTTATCGTACGCCATGGGTTTGGCCCATGTGGCAGTGGTCTCATCTTTGCTCATATCTATTCTAACTAATATATTTCTGTAACAACGTTCTTTGTGT